TTAACTGTGTCTTTTTGCATTTGCTCACAAATTGTATAATAATCATTCCAAGCTGTCACAGAACTAGCTGGTGGTATTTTGTTGTGTGTATATTGAATCTGCTGATTAACTTGCTGTAAGAATGGACTTGATAGGTAAAAAGGGGGACCACAGAGGGACATGCCTGGAAGGCCCCAGGAAGGAAAAAGTTGCAATCTCCTGGGTAAATGGGGCAGGGGAGGTAGAAGGGAGGGAATGGTGGATGAAAACATGAAATATCGAGAAGACCAATTGGGGGAGAGACAGAGGGGAAGAATAATTAAAGAGATATCTTGATAGAGGGAGACATTGTGGAGTTAGGGAGGAACCTGGTCCTAGAGACATTCTCGGGAATCTGCAAGGGTGACCCCAGCTAAGACTCCTAGCAAGAGTGGAGAAGGTGTCTGAACAGGCCTCCCCTTTAATTAGATTAGTGACTACCCTAGTTGTCATCATAGAACCTACATCCAGTAACTGATGGAAGCAGATGCAGTGACCCACAGCCGAGCATAGGACTGAGCAGTCGAAGAGAAGAAGAAAAGATCATATGATGAACAAGGGCGGTCAGGACCATGACTGGGAAAACCACAGAGACAGCTGACCAGAGCTAGTGGGAGCTCAGACTCTGAACTGACAGCTGGGGGGGGGGCTGCATAGAACTGAGCTAAGCCCTCTGAACGTGGGCGACAGTATGTGACTTGATCTGTTAGGGGGGCTGGCAGTGGCACCAGGACCTAACCCAGGGGCATGAACTGGCTTTTTGGAGCCTACCCCCTAGGATGGGATACCTTGCTCAGCCTTAATACAGGGGGAGGGGCTTAGTTCTGCCTCAACTTGGTATGCCACACTTGGTTGACTCCCCAAGGAAGGTCTTACCCCCTCTGAGGAGTGGATGAGGGGTGGAATGGTGGTAGGTGAGGGGGGTGGGGAAGGGGAAGAAGGGGGAACTGGGATTGGTATGTAAAATGAAAAATAATTTTTTAAATAGAAAAGAATAAAGCTGAAGGCAAAATGAAAATCCAAGGGAACTGGAGATGCCAGGGACATGGGATATTTTCTGGAGCAGCTTCAGGTAGAGGACACAGAAGCCCTTCAAAAAGGCTGCATGGTCTGTAACTGGAGGCCACACCACAGTGCCATGTGACCTTGGTGACGGATATGAAGATGCAGGATTTAGTGTGTACGCTAGTGGGTTTCCTTGTTGCTGTGGGCCCACACTTTCTTGACATTCTCTGTTTTAGAATGAGAATGTTTGCCCTATACTATTGTATGCTGGGGGGTTTCTACATTTGGCTTTTCATACTGTTTTTATAGAGAATGGCAACTAAGAAGTTAGTCTGAGTCTCAAAAGATATTTGTGGGTGTTGGCTACTGAGCAAGCTAACCCTGCAGAGATTAAAGGGGTGGACTACTGCGCCTTCGTTGTATGCAGGACACCTGTGTTAAGTAGAATTATATCCATGCTACTCAGAATGATTTTTAGGAAATGTATTTGGGTGCAAAGTTGATGTGGTTTGGGTTTTTAATGGGTAAACATGACTGGCAACTTCACTGGATTAAGGAAATTCTACAAAATTACTAAATCACACTCTTAATGTATCTGAGAGACCACTGTAGACAAGTATCAAAACAGGAGTCCAAGAAGGAACGTATGTGGTCTCATCCAAGAAGCTGAGTGCCCAATGTAACAAACGGGAGGAAGGGAGATGCTAGCACAGGCACCCCATCTCCGCGTTCTGACCTCCACTAAATGAGCCTCTCTCCTACGCAATGTGCTCCCATCATGACGTTTAACCTCACCACAAACCAGAAGAAGTAGGTTTTGTATTTGTGACTTTGTCTCTTGTTTTCTCTCTTCTTGGGACCTGGTATTAGTCCCCCAGCTGTGAGCTGTCTTTTTTTCTATTTAGTATCTGCATGTGCCTCTCCATCAATAAACTATTTTAATACAAAGGCTTTAATTAGCAAATGAACTCTACTCAAGATATCTTTAGAGAGATAGGGATTGGATTATATCATTCACTCCACAGCATACTCTTAATATTCCTCCATTGATTTTCATATCCCTTTCTCTAACTTAATATTTCATTTCTGTACTGATGAACAAATGCAGCTCCAGCTCAAAGTCTGAAAATGATTTTAGATGCTAACCAAAACTATCCTGAATTCTCACAACAAAAATGTTCAATTATTTGGGCATAGACATCATTCCAAAATATACAGACCTACCTATAAAAATAATTACAATGAATTATATTTTTATAACTAAATTATATATATGTATGTATGTATACACATTCATTTATCTTTATTTATTTTAATTTATATTTTATTACTTAATCCAAATTACCTAATACTAGAAGGAAACTCATCTGTTCTTTCACTCATTGAGGAAATAGCCATGCCACAATGTAGGCCAATGAGATGCCTTAGTGCATAGAAGTACTTGCTACCAAATCTTAATGACCTAAATACAATCCCCAGGAAAAACAAGATTCAAGGAAAGAAGCAAATCCTTGAACTTTGATTTCTACAAGGACTCATGCATGTGTGCAAGCACACACACTTTTTAAATGTAATATTTAAATTTACATGCTTTTAAAAATAAAAGAATATATAAAATATACAAAAATCTAAGCCCTGAAAAATATAGAAAGTATTCTTGTTTTTTTTTCTTTTTTTATTGTTTTTTCTTATTTTACATGTCTATCCCAGTTCTCTGTCCCTCCCATGTCCCCCAAATCCCCTCCCATCTCACCACCCACCCACTCCTCAGGGAGGGTGATGCCTTCCAGGAGGAGTCAACAAACTCTGTCAAATCATTTGGAGTAGGAAATAGGCCCTTCCTCCTGCCTCTAGGTAAAGGGAGTACCCCTCCATGGGGAATGTGCTCCCAAAGTCCTTTTGTGTACCAGGGATACACCCTGGTTCCACTGTCAGAGGTCCCTTAGACTGCCCAGGCCTTCTGAGACCCATGTTCAGGGGGTCTGAGTTGGTCCATTGCTGGTTTCCCAGCTATCAGTCTGGGGGTGAAAATTTGGCTTTGTCATTGAATACATTGTTTTCTCTATCTATAACAATTGAGAGTTTTGCTGGGTATACTAGCCTGGGCTGGCATCCGTGGACTCTTAGTACCTGTAGAACAGATGTTCTATCCAGGACCTTCTGGCCTTGAGAGTCTCCATGGAGAAGTCAGGTGTAATTTTGATAGGTCTGCCTTTATATGTTACCTGTTCTTTTTCCTTCACTGCTCTTAATATTCTTTCTTTATTCTGTATGTTAGGTGTTTTGATTATTATGTGTCAAGGGGTCTTTTTTCTTGGGTCCAGTCTCTTTGGTGTGGTAAGCTTCTTGTACTTTCATAGGCATGTCCTTTAGATTGGAAACGTTTTCTTCAATGATTTTGTTGAATATGTTTTCTGCACCTTTGAGCTGGGCTTCTTCGCCTTCTTCTATACCTATTATTCTTAGGTTTGGTCTTTTCACGGTGTCCTACATTTCCTGGATGTTTTGTGTTAAGGATTTGTTGGATTTAGGATTTTCTTTGATCAATGAGTCTATTTTCTCTAGTTTATCTTCAGTGCCTGAGATTCTCTCTTCCATCTCCTGTATTCTGTTGGTTATGCTTGCATCTGTAGTTCTTGATCATTTGCCCAGTTTTTCTATTTCCAGCATTCCCTCGGTTTGGGTTTTCTTTATTGTCTCTATTTCAGTTTTCAGGTCTTGAACTGTTCGAATTTTCTCACATCATTTTTGAAGGTCTCTATCTTTTTTATGAAGATATTTTTTAAGTCGTTCTCTTCTGCTTCATCTGCTTTGAGATGTTCAGGTCTAGTTAGTTGGTGTAGAGTCCCTAGATTCTGGTGGTGTCATGCTTGTCTTTCTATTGTTAGGTGTTTTCTTGTATTGCCGTCTTCCCATCACTTCTTCCAGTGGGTGCAGGTGGAGTCTTTCTCTGCCCTACTCTCCCGGTGGGCATAGGTGGGTCAGGAGTTCGATTTCTATAACTCTGGATGGTCCAAGCTCTCTAGGATGTCTCTCCTTTGGCAGAGAACCAGGGATGGGGTCCAAAGATCAGGTGGCTGTGGCATCGTGGATAGGCAGGTCCAGGATGCTCAGAGCAGACCCAGGAGGTTCCATGGAGGTGGAGGGGTTGTTAGACCCGCACTCTGGCCCAATGCTCAACCAGAGCAATGGAGCAGCGGGCCCGGTAGGATGCCAAGTACTCTTGTCTTTAAGCACTGCCTCCTAGGTCCTTTCTGGATCACCAGAGCCGGTCATCCTAATAAATGTTCTAGAAAAGGTCCACAGAATCCTTGTGATGTGACCCTATAACATGCTGTTCATTCTCCATGGATGATGGAACCATCTCAGTCATGGGGGTGTCATGATCACCTCTTTGCTTTTCCCAAAAACTATGGTCCAGAGAGCAATAGTGCTTGGTCCATTCAGCCTCCTGAATTGAGAAGTTTGCCTCATAGAATATATGTATATGACATAGAATAACATGGATGATTTCCTTGTGATCTAGAGGTCCTGAGTTATACATACGAAGGACAACTCAGACTCTAGAGTCAACAAACTGTGAGTTTGAATCCACAGTCCAGAACTCTACAGCTCTCTGTAAGTGGCTTAATCCGTGCAGCCATGTACTCTCCTTTCATTTACGCATGAATTTATTTGAAAATGCTAAAAACGACTACAGCCAGGATATCTGAATCTTCTTCGAATCCCCCAAGACAGCGCCCCTTACCAGCAGGAAGTAGTTAGGAAAGAACGACGCCCAAATTCCCAAATATTGTGTATAAATGTTTGTTTTCATTTAATTGGACTGTTATATAAAATTAAATAAAATTAAAAAAAAGAAAGAAAATGCTAAAAACGGTATCTGCATAATGTTACAGCCCTGTGGAGAAGGGACCATATTAAGGTACTCAAATATGGTTTGTGTTCTCAGGGACACTGCTGGAAGATTTGTGAACATGGACCCAACCATCTCACCCCACAACACCGAATCTACACCAACAAATGAAACTGGTAAGCCTGAGAATCAAAACTGCAACCCAATCCTGACCCTGAACTTCCTGGCCCTCGTTATTGCCGTGGTTGGACTGACAGGAAACACCATTGTACTCTGGCTCCTGGGATTCCACGTGCGAAGGAAAGCCATCTCAGTGTACATCTTCAACCTGGCTCTTGCAGATTCCTTCTTCCTCTCCTGCCACTTGATCGACTCGCTCCTTCGGGTCCTTGATTTCTATGGCTTCTATGCCCATAAACTAAGCAAAGAAATCTTGGGCAATGCAGCTTTCATTCCTTATATCTCAGGCCTGAGCATACTCAGCGCTATCAGCACAGAGCGCTGCCTGTCTGTATTGTGGCCCATATGGTATCACTGTCACCGCCCAGAAAACATGTCAGCTATCATATGTGCCCTAATCTGGGCTCTGTCCCTTCTGACGAGCATCCTTGAATGGTACCTCTCAGGGTTTCTGAGCAAGGTTCATCAGCATTTGTGGAAAAATGTTGATTTTATTGTAACTGCATTTCTGATCTTTTTATTGATTCTTCTCGTCGGGTCCAGTGTGGCCCTACTGGTCAGGATCCTCTGTGGTTCCAGGCGGAACCCGCTGACCAGGCTGTATGTTACCATCTCACTCACAGTGGTCACCTTCCTCATCTGTGGCCTGCCTCTTGGGCTTTACCTCTTCCTGCTCTACTGGCTGGAAGTGCATCTCCATTACCCCCTGTGTCACCTTTACCGAATCACTTCTGTCCTGTCCTGTGTGAACAGCTGTGCCAACCCCATAATTTACTTCTTCGTAGGTTCCTTTAGGCAAAATAGGCATCATCGGTCCCTCAAAAGGGTTCTTCAGAGGGCTCTGGAGGACACGCCTGAGGAGGATGAGTGTAGAGCAAGCCATCTTCAGAAAACCATTGAGATGTCAGAAAGTAGAGAATGGTGAATAATCCCTCCTTTAGTCAACAGGGGTGGAGACTCAACACACCACACAGACTTCCTCTCCTCTCAGAAATTCCCCAGGGACTGAAATGCTTTCAAATGGTTTTTAAAATCCAATTTTCATATCGTCCTTAAAGTAGTCAGACAGAAGAATTTCTTCAACTTGGCACTGTCAATGAATTTCTCAAGTATCCTCTGTATTTTTCCCATTGAACATGTTTTCTGCTTGCAGTTTTATAAGTGGGAATGTTCTTATTCAAACTATAAATCTGAAACTGAGAACATAATAGTATAAAATGTTTCTCCTCTGAGCCATTTCCCAGAGAATTTTATTCTCCATGATTCTCCAAGCTCTGGAGATGGCAAACTTGGTCCTGAAAGAATCCTCATCTAAGGATCACTGACAACTCCAATCTAGACATTGGACATCAACATCCCTCAAGACATGCTCTGTCTGTGTAAGAACAATGCAGGAAGTCAGAAGCAATTACTTTTTTCTTGTGTTTTGAGCTAATATCAAGGCCTTTGTCCTTGAGAATGGTAAACAGATACGTCTCAATCATAGTACAAAAATATGATCAATCCAATGAATGCTGGGAAAAAATGTAGAATGTGGAAGCTGGGTTGGGAAGATGGACCAGTGGTCTGGAGTCTGTTTAAGAATCCCCCATGACAGCACCCATTACCAGCAGGAAGTAGTTTGGAAAGAATGACACCCAAATTCCCAAATATTGTCTATAAATGTTTGTTCTCATTTAAATGGACTTGTTTATATAAATTAAATTTTAAAAATGTTATTATTCAGAAGTGATCAAAAGAAAGCAAGATGATGGAATGTAAAAAATAAGAATAAGTAAGAAAAGTAAGAATAAATAAAATAAAAAAAAAGAATAAGATGTCAAGATTTGACTATGCCATTGACACGAACTGAAGGCATCATAAGCTAAACCGAACCAAAAGGTTCTATTTGTGCACTGTGAGTGTAGTCACCTTGAGCACATTCTCCTCCTACCCCGGGCTGGCTGTCTTACTAATGCTCTTTCTATATGATGCTATGGTTTATACTAGGCATTGACACTGTCAATACAGTAATACCGATTATTAAAGTGATAAAATCTTGTTACTGTGTGTGTGTGTGTGTGTGCATGCGTGTGTGTGTGTGTGTGAGTGTGTGTATGTGTTAATGATGACCAGACATTAGCTTCTGAACTGATACAATTTACCTTGCTCACTTCATTTTTAATTTGAATTATTTTTAATATATTTCAATTGAAATATAATTATCAAAGAAACATTAAGTAACTCAGAGGCAGATGAGGATGGGAGAAAAGACAATTCATAAAGATATTGTAAATAAGACCACATATCTTAGAGAATGGTAATCAATATGTGAGTGCCATCACTAATTCCATTGCAAGTATTTTGTTGTCATGCAAGGTACCTCTTCAGACGAATTCTAAGGAGCACAGAGAACAGTGTCTATCATGACCTTGAAGTGTAAAAAAAAAAAAATGACTACCATGAATTTTGAAAAATTGGTTGTAGCAAACTCTGTAAGCTCTGCAAGCTCAGAGAGGTCACCCAGCAGAATAAATGAATAGCAAATTTCTGTTTTCTTGACCTCTTCCCAAAGACAAACTGAATGTCAGTGATCCAAACAAAAGGGAGATGGACAAGAGGGAAAGGGCGAGAGATGGTAGATTGCCCTCTTTCCTCTAGCCACTTCTTTCTGTGAACACTAGGTCCAAAACTGGGACCTGAAGAGATGCCGTTTCTTAATTAAAATGAGCATATTATTCTTGACATATCAGCGCTCTTGTTATGAGTGATGGTTTAAGAGTTGGGTCATCAGTTACCAAAAAATCTCATGGCCATCATTTACATGTAACCTTGTTCCTCTTTTGAAATTTGATGTCTACAGCACTTGATAATTAACATATGATATTGTTACCCTTAAGACAAAACAATGCATAGCTGTTTCAGATAACCCAATAAGTACAGATGACAATGAATGCACGTCTGAGCCTTGAATGTGTTTATTCATTTTATTGCTGTAGCATCATTTGTTCATTTTAAAATGGAAATTGGGAAAAACGTGACAAAATTTGTAGTATTAATGGTAGGGATGTTGATTCTATTATAATGTTATTCCTCACTTATGGATGGGGACAGATTCTGAGAAATACATTCTTATGTAAACATAGAGTATTTACATGAGCCTATCACACACCTAAACTGTATGATATATATACATACACATATATATGGACTATATGATATATATGACATATGAGCATATATTTCATATAGTCCAGGTGTGATATATGCATTATATATATACATATATATATGCATGTATATATTCAATGGGGCATTATTCAACCCTTGATATCCCACAATTATAATAAGTAGTGTTTTCATTTTTCATTAGATTCTAAGAAACTTAATTTTTCCTTGATTTTTTTGATGACTTGCTGATCACTTGAAGTTGTATTTTCAATCCCAGTGTGTTTGTGTATTTTTGCACACATTCTATGCATTTTTATTGTTGACTTTTAGCTTTGTTCCATTATGACATGATACAACACAAGAAATTATTTCAGTTTGGGTCTTGTTAAAACTTACTTTGTCATCCAAATTGTGAGCTTTTTTGAGAATAATTCATGGGCTAGGGTTTCTGATAAGATACACATTCTATAGAGGTCAGACAGCATATTCCACAGAAGTCTGTTAAGTCCATTTGCTCTGTAGTGTAGTTTAATGCTGAGGTTCCTTTGTGAACTTTTTGTCTGGATGATCTACCTATATGTTGATGAGAATGTGTTACTGAAGTCCTATTGTTATATCGGGATCAGCCTCACCCCTTCAAGTTTGTTTCATGACAGTAAGTGCACCAATACTCAGTACACATGTTTACAACTATTATGTATTCTTGGTGAGCTTTCTCCTAATTACTATATGGTAGCGTCCCTTATTATTTCTGGTTAAGTTTGACTTGAAGCAGATACTCCATCTTGCTTTTAGAACCAATTTTTAGTATATAATAGTGACAGAGGACACAATAAAATAGACAAAAATGATCAAAAAAAAAAGAAAAGAATGTGAGTCATCTTTACTCAAGAATAAAGATCTTGAACTAGCCTCCTTCACGGCTACTTTTAGGACCTTGAACAGCTCCCAGTGAGCAGGTTCATTTCTCTCAGAGTAACAGATGTTTCAGTTGCTTTCACTGTGATAAATAAATGTCCTCAGGGACCTGAAATTGCCATCAGTATTGTTAAAAGTTCTGGCTGAGCCTGTTTCATCAAATGGAACTGATGAATCATAATTTCTATTCTTTATTTTATTTATTTACTTTTCTTATTTTACGTATTGATTCCCAGTTCCCTCTCTCTCCCTCCCTCCCTCTCTACCACCCTCCCATGCCCCATGACCACCCTCCCATCCCATTCCCCCACACACACTCCACAGGGAGGGTGATGCCTTCCAGCAGAGGTCAACAAAGTCTGTCAAGTCATTTGGAGTAGGGACTAGGCCCTCCTTCCTGCCTCTAGGTTAAAGGAGTATCCCTCCATGGGGAATGGGTTCCCAAAGTCCTTTTGTGCACCAGGGATACATCCTGGTTCCATTGTCAGAGGTCCCTGAGACTTCCCAGGCCTTCTTCCTGAGACCCACATTCAGAGGTCTGAGTCAGTCCAATGCTGGATTCCCAGCTATCAGTCTGGGGGCCCATTAGCTCCTCCTTGTTCAGGTCAGCTGTCTCTGTGGGGTTCTGTAGCCTGGTCTTGTCCTCCCTCTCTGCATCTAGATTCCAGTTCAGCTCAGTGTTTAGCTGTGGGTGTCTGCTTCTGTTTCCATCAGCTACTAGATGAGGGCTCTATGATGGTGGATAAGTTAGTCATCAATCTCATTATCAGGGATGGACATTTATGGTAACCTTTCCACTTTTTTGATTGCTTCTTCTTAACTGATGTAACTCATTTATCAATACCTGCCAATATTTCTGTGCTTTGAAGTATTATCAGGAAATTCATTGTTGTGCAAATAAAGAATGTTTCCTTTGCTCCCTATACAGTAATTTCAGAGTTTTGGGTTATGCTCTCAGATAATTTTGAGTTGAATTTTATTCAAGATGGCATAAAGAGGCCAAATGTCAGTCTTTTATATATGCATATCCAGAAAGTTCCCAGCAAATTTTGTTGAAGATGCTATTTTTTTAAAGGTTTTTGAGGACTCAAGAAACCAGTCAACAAAACACCAAATAACACTATTAAAAAATGGGGTACAGAACTGAAGAGAGAATTCTCAACAGAGGAAATCAAAAAGGCTGAAAGACACTTAAGAAAATGTTCCACATCCTTAGCTATCAGGGAAATGCAAATCAAAACAACTTTGAGATACCATCTTACTCTTGCCAGAATGGCTAAAATTAGAAACACCAATGATGACTCATGTTGGAGAGGATGTGGAGAAAGGGGAACACTCCTCCACTGCTGGTGGGAGTGCAAACTCATACAGCCATTTTGGAGATCAATATGGCAGTTCTTCAGGAAAATGGGAATTAGTTTACCACAGGACCCGGAAATCACCCTCTTAGGCATATACCCAAATGATCCACCCATGCAACAAAGACATTTGTTCAACTATGTTCATAGCAGCACTATTTGTAATAGCAAGAACCTGGAAGCAACCTAGATGCCCCTCAATTGAAGAATGGTTAATGAAGGTGTGGCACATCTACACAATGGAATACTACTCTGCAGAAAAAAATAATGGTATCTTGAAATTCGCAGGCAAGTGGATGGCACTTGAAGAAACCATCCTGAATGAGGTAACCCAGTCACAAAAAGAGGAACACAGTATGTACTCACTCATATATGGATTTTAGACCTAGAGCAAAGGATCACCAGCCTATAATTCACACCACCAGAGGAACTAGGATACAAGGTGTATTCTAAGCGATTCATATAAAGTCCCTCACAGAACCGGGAAGGGACAAGTCCC